TTTTTCCCCAATGAAATACAGTTTGCCTCTATTACTTGGCATTAAAATGATTTACTGAAATAGGCCAAAACATAAACCGCTGAAATAAAATGAAGAGAGATTACAGTTGCAGCAAAATGCAAAGGCCGATCTATTCAGACGCATAATTGAGACACGTTTAAATGCAACTTTGACTCCTTAGAAAGTGGCCAAAAGGGAAAAAGGATGCCTTCCATCCTGCTCACCCATCAACTGGACACTCCAAAACCAAACCCTCGGGCACTTGTGAGGACTCACTTCCTCAGGAACCACGTGTATTAGGCAGATCCACATACATGGCCGTGGTGTGGACCCTGAAGACTGTAGGAATCCATTCAGCTAATCCACTGTGTGCCGCCTGAGCGTCCACTCCCCGCCCAACACGGCTGCTGTGTTGCCACAAAAACCCGGTGTTCTCCCCCAGGTGGCCCTGCCAGGAAAGCAGCACAGCACTGCTGTGACAGCCCCTTTTTGTAGATCAGCTGCCTGGCTTTCAGGGCTTGGCCCGCCCAGAGCGGGGCACAGCGCAGGATAGAAAGCGCTCCACCCTGAGTGTGGTGTTAGCGCTCCCGGGCCCTGGGATCGGACCTCGGAGACCAGCTCTGCCTTTTAGGCTTCCTTCCTCTCGGCCCTTTTGGCTGATCTCAAAAGCCTCATTGAAGCAGACCTGCAGGGATCTCCCAGAGTTCAGCTGTCAACCTGTTTCAAGTTTCCAGTGTAACCCAGGACCCCAAGCCTGATTTTCTCCCGGCCTCACCGCGGTGGCCAAGCGGCCTCCTCCTCACTGCTCATAGCTCCTGCAGCACTGCGGCTCTGAGACTTGTTTGAAGTAGAGGACACTGAGTTTAGAGATCATTAGCTATTTGCATGGAACCACCCAGCATAAAGCCCTGCCGGACCTGGACCCAAATGGCCCCTTATCCTCTCTATGCTTCCCCGTCATCTCCGGCCCAGACACACCAAGCTGGACGCCCCCCCTCCACATGATACCCCTCAAGGCCCCCTTCAAAGGTTACTTCTTCTGTGACACTCCTCTCCTCCCACTGAGCAGTGGGTCCCTCCCTCCCCTGGGACCCACTGTGCCCCCCCACCTCCATTAAGTCCCATGCTGCTCCTGACCAATTATGTGCCCACGCCTGGCTTTCTCCCTGCCCCACACGCCCAGGGGGCCAGATATTAGGCACCCAGACCAGAGGGTGCACTGTGTTTCCTGAGTTGGCAGTTACAATTGTAGATTACTTTCATCTTTTTAAAAAGATAATAAAGACTACTTTCAGTGGGTTGTGTATGTAACCAGTGCAATCCATACTGGGAGCGCTTGCTTTTCGCGCACAACCCCAGGAATCTTTTCTTAAAGTTTGTCCGGGGTTATCCTGTGCCCATGGGACATGAGATTCAGAATTCTGCTCTCTTCATCTTCGCTTTCCTCCAGGCCTGCAGGAGAGACACACACGCTGCCTGCAATCCCGGCCCATCAGAGGAGAAAGGCTTGCTTTCTCAATGAAAATCACACTGGGGAGGAGGCACTGCTGGTAAGAGCACAGCATGTGTGGAACTCCAGAAAAGAAGAAAGAAGCTATAAAAGCCTGTAATTGGGCTCCAAGTACATCAAATAGAAGCTGGAAAACAGTTAGGAGCTAAGAGTGAAGAAGAAAAAAATCCAGAGGTCACAGTGGACCACCAGCTGAATGATTCAAATGCTGTTTTGCTTTTTGAGTGGGTGGCTAGAAGACACAAGCAGTAGACAAGCATGCAGGGCCCTGCACGATCTTTTCATTGTGTCTCCTCCTGATCGAATCATTGCTGAAAGCTGCTACCTATATCCAAACCCCACATATGCTCTTGAACTTAGAAACCAAACCTAACTAAAGAATATCCTGTGTCTTCTTGAAACTAGGAATCCAACAGTTGTAAGATGCACCATTATTTTATCAAACAGTAGGAAAAATGCTGCCAATTAAACTATGACATGCTTTTTTATTACCTCAAATTTTTATTTTATTTTTATGGAAAGAGCTATTTCAGATTTATTCAGACATACAACCTTATAGCATATCTTTCTTGGGCACATAAAAAGAAAAATAAAGGTAAAATAAATTGGTTAAGGCAATGACAACCAGGTCACCTGGCTGAGAGCAATTGTAAGAAGCCACTGATTTGGAAAGTACATCCCATTTTCAGAAATGCTAAAATCTGGAAAAAAAATTGCACACACCATAGAATCAATAAAATACTATTTTATGCCTAGTTCAGTGACAACATTTAGAAAGGACATGGTAATCGTTTACAGAATAACTGCTACAAAGATATTTCATTGATTAGAAAATGTATTGATATAGAGGGGGAAAGTTGATATTTTTCTACAACTCACGAAGGACAAAAGTAGAATAGGGGTTTAATAATGTTCTTCAAGGACATCTATGTCCTGTCCCCAAAAGCAGTCGTTTCCAAATGTGTTTTGTTGTTTTTTTTTAATATATTTTATTGATTTTTTTACAGAGAGGAAGGGAGAGAGATAGAGAGCCAGAAACATCGATGAGAGAGGAACATCGATCAGCTGCCTCCTGCACATCTCCCACTGGGGATGTGCCCGCAACCCAGGTACATGCCCCTGACCGGAATCGAACCTGGGACCCTTCAGTCCGCAAGCTGACGCTCTATCCACTGAGCCAAACCGGTTTCGGCGTGTTTTTTTTTTCTTTACTTTTTTAGCAGCAGGACCTCTTTATAATACACTGTCCTAGGAGAAGCCTAAGAGAGCTGCGCCAGCTGGAGGAAGAGCATCACCCTGCACATGCCTGTGAGGTCACGGGGCTCAGGACCAGCTGAGATCCTGGCCTGGAGAGTAGAGGTCACTGTCTACCCACCCCCTCTAATGCCACAACACAAGAACGAGGGTTTAAATCATGCATCACGCCCTAACCGGGTTTAAATCATGCATCACGCCCTAACCGGTTTGGCTCAGTGGATAGAGCATCAGCCTGCGGACTGAAGGGTCCCAGGTTTGATTCCGGTCAAGGGC